ACGTAGAGACGACATTTTTATTAAAAATTCTCCACTTGTTTTAATTAATGATGATTTTTTGCATCCTGTCCTGCCAACTGCTTCTTGGAAATCTTTGACAAGTGATAAAAATCCATTTTCAATCCATCTGTCGAGGCGCACAACCAATCTAATAATTGCTGTGTTCCAATAAGTGGTCCACGTCCCTTGCACTGTACAGTGAATGGAGTAAAAGTTGACAGTAAACAGTATCCGTTACTGCAGTTTTCTTCCTGTTTCTGTTTTTCTGTCATGCGAACTTCAACAGGTGGATTCTGGGATATCGGTACAACATCTGGAGCCTCAGTTTGAACTCCTTTCGTGCCAATTAAACCACAGTCCTGACTCGTATTCTCACTGTACTTACATTTTAACACCAGTAGTCTCATCTATTTTTCCCAAGTTGTGCCTTTATTTTGGTAGGGTTCAACCGTCTCACTTCCTGCTGCCTTTACAACAGCTCCCGCTGCTAAACCTTAACGGTTTGCAGTGCTCCTCCCCCTCCTCCTCCTCCCCCCATTTTGCAAATCTTTCTCACACTTGTACGCGTTCTTGTGACCCCACAGCTACTGACCGTCAGTACTGTGATCGTCAGTGTGTCTGTGAAGTACCATGGTTTAAAAAAAAGTTTCAGATAATTAAATTCCCTTGGACTCAGATGAGGAATAAAGACTGTTTCTGAGGTGAGATGCTGCCCCCCCCAACAGGACTCCCCTGAAACTCTAAAAAACAGTTTAATTTTTGTGCTGCTTCACCCACTGCACACTTAGATAATAAGACAGTGTAATGATATGTTTGGGGAGTTCATTTCCCTGTAGTTTCACAGCTACATAATAATAAAAAAAAACAATGTTCAAAGAAATGACTTTCCTGGGACGGGTCTGCACAGGTGAATTATGGGATTGGATCCACTTTAAACACTTGACATCAAAGGAACGCTTTGGACATTTGGCAGAAATAACATAAAAAAACCCCGATTCAGAGTCAATTTTTAATTTATTCTCATCAGCCTTATCAGCCTATCACACATTTAATTGCGAATTAAATCCAAAATTACAGATAAATTACACTCACTCACCATGTTAAGCACGAGATAAAAAACACAAACAAAAATGTGCTGCTTGGCCTGGACAACATTCACACATCAACAAACATCAAACCAACAGTTTTCAGCCTTGGGTCAGTAGCATTCACTCACAAAGTGCACCGTCATCAAACGTAACGCAAATCTTCGCAGACACCACAAAGTGCACCGTCATCAAACGTAACACAAATCTTCGCAGACAGTAGTTTTTATTTGTCTATAAGTCAAAATAATAATAATAATAATAATAAAAATCTTTATTTAACCACAGAGAAAGTCCTCACACGGAGAGGGAAATATCTGATATTTCACTTTTAAATTTGTCACTGACGTCAAACGAGCGAATCACCCGCTCTGTTTCTTTTTTTTCCTTGAATCGATTCAAAGTAAAAGTTCTTGGTCGGTACATTCAGCTGCAGTTCAACTTTTAATCCAGGAAAGTAAGTCAAGCGACGGAACACATGCTGAAGCAGAAGCAGCTTTTTTTTCTCTTCAAATCTATCTGTCGCAGAACCACATTATGACCTCACCAGATATCAGCAGTAAATCTGTGGACATTGGCAAAAATGGTAAACACAAAACTGCAATATGTTTTTTTTCTCCAGACTAAAGTCTTGACAGACACAAAAACTCTCAGCCAGTGGTTAGCCGCTCAAACAGAGACGTATCAGTTCCATTGTTTCGCCACTAGGGTTGCTGCTGTTTATGGAAAAAAATCAATCATTTTTCTTGAAAAAGTTTTGCTGCTTCTATTTGGCCATTTCTTAAGTGCAGTTTGGAGATTTGTTTTAAAACTTCAGTTGAATTTCAAGTTTAGTTTCTATATTTCTCCCACACTGTTTTTTAAGTTTATACCTTTATTCTAAGAGAGTAGCAGTTCAGGAAGTAAAGTGTTCTCAAGAAGCTCAGCTATTTTCTTTTTTAAAACAATAGATGAGACTATGTCAATGTACATCTACAAAACTGAGGGGCGGGGAGCAGTCTGGGAACCACTGATGACCTAAATCATAATCCTCAATTCTAACATTTCTTTACATTTACAGGAAACCTGAACCAACAGGTCAAAGACACTTAAAGTCCTGAAAAGCGCCCGACGTATTTTAAACGCACAGATTTCAACACCGTTGAGGTTTTCCAAAGAAATATCTGCTAAAAAAAACCTACGTACATTTATATCCTCTCACGTTCACAGCCGTCCTGGAGTTCCTGCTATCTCACAGAGTGGAGAGAATAAATAAAATATAACTTAAGGAATGAAAAAAAGGTGCAAACAAGGATCTGTTTTTGGCCCATTGAATGATTCTGTGTGTGTGTGTGTGTGTGTGTGTGTGTGAAGGACGAGATTCCTGCCTCTACATGGCGTCAAAGTGGAAACGATGAGCTTCCTGCCTCTTCTCACGGTCGTCTGCTTTCTGATCAAAACACAGAGAGAGAGAGAGAGAGAGTCAGAAATCAGTCAGATGTTTGGGTCTAAACCACAGTCGGACAATATGTGTTGATATATTTGTCAACAATTAAAAAAAAATATATATATAGAGACTCAAAATAGACTGACAAAATACAGACATTTACATCGATATGATATTATAAAAATTAAATAAGTGAACATTTACTAAACTACACATGAAATAAATAATACTTAATCAGTATCCCCCTAACTACACATGAAATAAATAATACTTAACCAGTATCCCCCCCTCCACCCCCAAATTTAACTGAGTTTGACATCGGTGTATTTGTCTTAAAACACTATGGTTCATCAAGATTTTCTAATCCATTTACTGCCTGCTTTTCATTAGAGCAAAGGAAGTGTTTTCACAATTAAATTTTTTTTTCCCTTCAGTCACAAAATTGAGGAAATTCTTTGTCTCACAGTCCTGTTGTCCTGAACATGTTACTGAGGACAGATGACAAATACAATATTCCCAGCAGCCACTGTTATTGTCACCCTCCTTCCTCCACATGTGACCATCCAGGGAATAAATAAATAAATGTTGATATGACTGACAGAGGAGGCAGTCTGCAGAGAAACCTCCACCAGCAGAAGGCAGCGTACCAGCACAAACGTCCAATCATTCTGCTGGACCAACATGTCAGATGTCATCATCAGTTTTGGAAAAAAAAATTGCAATAAGATGACGAAAGTAAAAAAAAAAAAAAAGGTCACAAAATAAAAAGTAGCCCAGACGGCTCTCAGTGTTGCCAACTGAGAATCCTGTAAGATTGAGAATCCAGACCCACAATGCATCAGTTTCCTTTCACTTCCCCCCCGCCCAGAGAGCTTCATTTATTAATAGCTACCTCTACGTGGAGAGATTTTCAACAAATAACACAAGTGTTTCAAAAACAACGTAACAGCGTGAGTTTCCAAACGGGAAAAAAAAGAAAAGAAAAAAAAAAAAAAAAGAGGCTGTGACGACGTAGGCGTGTGAGGACACACCAGCTGGTACCGAGTCCAGCTGGTACCGAGTCCAGCTGGTACCGAGTCACATCCCTGCTGTTCTTGAACAGCTAACGCTGAGACCAGTGGTGAGGTCAGACCGCTGGTAATTAAATATGGTCCCACAGCGTCATTTAACAGAGCCACGGGTTGGACCACTGGTCCCAACAGAACATCCAACAACCAGGAACAATTAATCAGCAAAAAAAAAAACCCAAAACAAAACAAAACAAAGAGGAAAAAATAAAAGATGCAGATTCTTCTGTGACTCAGTCGGGTCATTGTTTCCCAAAGACTGGGTCGTGACCCTCAGGTGAATCGCAAGAGTCTTTTTTATTTTTTTTCAAATGCTTGATCATCCAGGTCATCTTCTCCACCTGGATGATCAAATATTTGAAAAAAAAAAAAAAAAGACTCTTGAAAGTCACCAGGCTAACTACTGTATACGCTAACGTCGCTAACGCCGCTTCATGTCATGTGTGTTGAAGCAGAAGACGGTGTTTTTCCAAAGAAAACTCACTACTGTTTAGCCGTCTGTTTGACATCATCCTATTTCCCACAACACTGCCTTCTAGTTCATTGAGTATTTATTGAAACTCACCAAAAGTTTTGATGATGGTACTCAGCTTTGGCGAGTACACCACCAAAAAAAACAAAACAAAAAAAAAAAAGTACTTGTACTCACATTGGTTTGTACGAAGGAAAGGAACAAAATGCTGACATAAAAACCCTTGTGTTTTCACTCATTATCACAGCAGTTAAAGTGAAAAAGCCATGACATGGGAACAGTCCATAAATGTCTCTGTCTTTAACGCTGCCATCCTTCATATCGCTCTTCAGCTCAGGTCCTGTGAGGATCCCAGGTTATAAATAGCTGAAGTCATTGTATTTACAGCTTGTAGACTGTTTTTTTTTTTTTTATCGTCTGGCTGTAGAGACAGACAGACAGACAGAGAGACAGACAGAGAGACAGACAGAGAGACAGACAGACAGACAGACAGGTGCAATGACCACAGGCAGCAGCAGCAGCCAGCGATGTTGAGAACAGGCTGACAGATATGAACACCCAGCCCACACAAAGCTTCCTCCCTCTGGACTCATTCATGTCACATGCTGCTTATATATATATATATATACACTCACCGGCCACTTTATTAGGTACACCATGCTAGCAACGGGTTGGACCCCCTTTTGCCTTCAGAACTGCTTCAGTTCTTCGTGGCATAGATTCAACAAGGTGCTGGAAGTATGGCGACCCCCCCCACACATAGCGTCCTCCCGCTGAACTCAGACATGTCTCATGCTGCTTTTATATATATATATATATAATTTTTTTTTTCCCCTGCTGTTGTAAAGTTAAGTTTGAGAAAAGAGCAGACATTCCTCATGTTCTCCTTTTACATCCTCCAACTGACAGCTGACATTGTTCTCTGTAGACTTTGTGCATTTCAAGAAGCCGGAGGCCTGAGAAGGCAGTTTGTATTTTCACAGTTTTTTTTTTCTTTTTCCTTTTTGTAACGTCCCTACAGTGCAATGGTGTGGCTTTGGTACCGTTTTTTTGGTTTTTTTTGCACACAAGAAAAGAGCAGCTGCGGGAACAAAGGAACGAACGGTCACAATTAACAGTAAGAGAAATTCAAACACAAACGGCTCTTCTCTGTTTCACTGAATATTTCCTCAGAGTCCACTATCTCTGTGTGCTGCGGAAATGGAATGCAGTACACTGCAGTACACAACACAGCACTGTGCCCTCTGAGAACTTCCTCCAAAGGAGTCAGCATGAGCATAGAGAAAAAAAAAACCCCCCAAAAAACAACAAAAAAAAAACAACAATATCAACTTTGTACAACAGTGAGGAAACGAGAGTGAGTGATGTCGTAGAAAAATCAGAAAATCTAAAAGCTCGTACCAACCGTTTAGACTGAATCGTGTAATTTATCAACCGGTCTCCTAGTGGAGAAATGAGGCGACTACACTATTCCGCTAATTCAACAACGTACTTGATTAAACTTGAGTTACGCAACTTAAGTAAACGATGAATCCTACAGTATTAACGTTACGCAGCTCGGCACTTGGAAAAAGCGGTTGCGACTCTCCACTTCTCCAGATCATTAAAGGTCAATAAAGGAACTCTTTATTTCACAACACGGTGTCACAGTGATGAGGCCCAGGTTTATAAGAGATTCTTTATGGGTTTAACTGACTCTACTGAGACATAAAGAGCCCATGGATACTTCAGTGTCTGAATTAAAGCCGTAAGATTTGATACCAAATCTTCACAGCTGTATGACTGTATGTAAATGAGAAACCAGAGACGACCTGATAATGAGAGACGACCTGAAACAACCTTCTCAACCAAATGATGTGTCCTTCTCTTTTCGTCCTGTGGAGGCGATAGCGTCAATGTCAACAGCATTTTTTTTTTCACAAAGCTAAGTTAAGCGTTTGAGCTTAGGTACCAGATCAATCCTGAAATTCTGACCAATATCGGACCAATACGAGTCCTGAGTATTTCACGACGCACCAGTCGTATCATGTTGTGTTTCTGCTTGTTTTTTTTACAGCACTGCTTCAGTGAGAATCATGCTGTGATTATTCATCCATGTTTGTATGGCAGATTAAACAGGAAACTGACCAAACACAGACTTAGTTCCACTTTACAGCCAATCAGTGGACTTGGTGGTTGAAATAATGCAAGTTGAACTACATACTGGAAAAAATCTGCTGGTTTCAGGTCATTAACTCCGTATGATCACGTACTGTGTGTATATACGTATATATGTGTGTGTGTCTAATGAAGACAGAGTCTATGATCGTGCCTCACGCCTCAATCCCGGCTTCTACACTGTTGAATGTCATCTTTGTGTCGAGGCAGGCTCTGATTGGCTCCTGCGTCGTACCAATACCGTTCTTATGCTGGTTTAGTCCTAGCCCTAGCTGGACATGTTGATGCTAACTGGCTGTGCTAGCTGACAGGGACAGAGTTCCACTGATGTGGACTTAGAAAAACTGTCAGGAGTTATTACTGGTGAAGGAAAATCAAATCAAAAGAAAAAAAAAATGTTTCATTTTCTCCCTGGTTAAAAAAAAAAAAAAAATCAAAATAAATAAATGACCTATCCAGACAAACCAGGTCCAGCGGTTCTTTAAAGCTGTACTGGTGCTTGGTGAACTCCCGGTGAGCTTTTATAAATGATTTTTAAAAAGCGGATGTTTTGACTCTGTTTTTCAGAAAATTGAATTCACTGGACTTCACTGGAGGAGGAAACCTGGCTAATTGAGTATCAAGGGAATGGTATTAATTTGTTGTCTTGAGGCTGTCCCCCCCCCCCCCCCATCTCCCCTCCACACACACTCCACACACACTCCCCCATCATTAAGCAGTGGAGGCATCGATTTGTGTCAGTCAAAAAGTTTCAGTGAAACAGTGGAGCCAGGTGTGTGTTCAGCATCAGGACGACGCCTCCCAGGTGACTACACTCAACATATTTATCTATTTCCTCTTTTTCCTTTCACGTCTCTCCACCAGTAGACTTTGTGTTATTAAAAAAACGGTGTAAAAGCCCTGTTAGCTGCTTTGCTAGAGCGCCACCAGCCTCTGCCCTCGCTGTGACTTTATTATTGGAGGAGTAAATACCAGTAGAAATGCCAAATATCACTCACCACGCCGGGCCTGACCTCAGCGTGTGGCCTTTTGTTGAAGACGTGGGAAAGGATGAGACATGAGGGAGGACGCCAGTGACGGGAACAGGACTCGCCCTCATTTCTGATTCCCTGGACGTATGAGGTCACAGCTCACAGGTCCAGCACACCAGATGGGGACGAGTGTTTCAGGTTTGGAGAGGAGTCAAAGACGGATGATATTTTTTAAATGTCATTTTCAGTCTGAGTGTGGTGGAACGCTCCGCTCTCACACAGCAGGTACACGAGACGCTGCTGCTGCTGCTGCTGCTGCTGCTGCTGCTGCTGAGTGTCAGAGAGCAGAGACTCAATTTCAGACTGACCACAAACTCCACTGACCATCATGTCCACCCCGGGCTGGTCATCCATTAGACACCAGTCAAAGACATGTTAGTGAATGTTCAAGTCTTAATGGGGTCAGGTTGAATATTACCAACATTCATCTTTAACTAAAGGACAGGAAAGAGAACTACTGGTCATCGTGACACAGCACACAACGAACAGTGACCTCTGCTTTTAACCCATCACCAAAGTGAACAGTGGACAGCCTTAAGCGTCCAGGGAGCAGTGTGTGGGGACGGTCCCATGCTCAGAGTGGCAGCTGGTGGACTCGAACCTGAAACCTTCCAGACCCAAGTCTGCTTGGACTGCCCCTAAAAACAGTTTGAACCATTAACACGACTGTGTTGGCTGGTTTTCACCAAACAATTACTGATGTATATTTATCACTGAAGACACTGGAATACAGACAGGGCAAAGGTCACTGAATTAAACCGTTAGGTAAGACAACAAAGTTTTGAACTTTTGAGCTATTTCAAATTAAACTTCTTAATTACCAAAAGCCATATTTTTCTTTCGCCGCTCCGTTCAGCTGCTCAAGTGTCTTCATTCTTATCCGTCTAATCTTGACCATTCCACTGACCACTTATATTTATCAAATGACTTTTTTTTTTTTACCATATCCTGACTAGTTGAGTCCTTTACTCTCAGCCTCAACTTCACCTCCAAACTTGCTGCTTTCATTTCCCTTCTCTGGTAACTTCCATTAATAATCTCAACATCTACTTCTACTGAAGTGGAGAGTCCAGCAAACACAGGTCTCACCATCGTTTCATGTCTTTCACTGACACTAAAAAAGAATCTTCTTCTTTTCACTCACTTATTCACACAAATATTCTCAGTGTGATATTCTCACACACACTCTTACTCCAGGCTGGGGGTGTTGACTAGACAAGGCGAGCGTCGCAGCAGTTTTGAAGAACATTTTCTTCAAAATCTCATTTGCAGATTATTCCACTTCCTGTCTCCATGTTCAGCTGAGACACCGACCATGTTTTTTTTTTTAAGTGCTCCACACAAAGCCGGTGCTCACGGCCATTTCCTAGAGCGATGACAATTAGAGTGTTTCAGCATGTAACGTGTGCCTTCCTGGGTGTGTTAACACACACTCACACACACACATACAGCAGATGTCGATTGGAGAAAATGCCAACTAGTTCATACAGCACTCAACACACTCTATACACGACAAAAACAAGACGACAGTTTTGAGGGAAGGAGTGAATCAAGTGTTTATATCCGGGGATTTCTAACAACGTATCGTCAGGCGTAACTCAAACAACAACAGCAGACGAGGAGGAGGAGCCGAGAAAACAGAAAAAAAAAAAAAAAAGAACGTGTGTGTGCAAAGATGCGTCGACTCCCTGTGGGAGCATTTATGGCTGTAATGAACAGCAGATCTGCCACGCTGAAAGGACAGAAGCAGGCAATTAGGGCTGAACACCCTACCAGGTTGTAGCCTGTGGAGTGAGGAGGGGGGAGGGGGGAGAGAGAGAGAGAGACTGAGAGGAAGAGAGAGAGAGACTGAGAGGAAGAGAGAGAGAGACTGAGAGGAAGAGAGAGAGACTGAGAGGAAGAGAGAGAGAGAGACTGAGATGAAGAGGAAGAGAGAGAGAGAGAGACTGAGATGAAGAGAGAGAGAGAGAATGTTTGTTGTCTATGGTGGAGGCTAGAGGACGACAGGATGAGGAGAGGGACACCCATCTGCTGGTCATCTCTCTCTCTCTCTCTCTCTCTTACGCTATCTCTCTTTCACACACAAACACCCGCATACATACACACACACAAACATGCAAAAAAACCCAAAACACAAAAACAGATGATCCCAGGGTGGATTTTACCATCAACAAAAAAAAAAGGGTGGATTTTACCATCAACAAAAAAATGTTGTGTTTTGGTGGTTACTCTAATCTGTGTGTGTGTGTGTGTGTGTGTGTGTGTGTGTGTGTGTTCCCAGTCTAGCTCTTTGAGGGTCTTCTCTTTGGAAAACTACCGTTGCTGTGAAGACATTTTGTCCTCACTGAGTAAAAGTGTATCCTGAGGTTCAAGATGTGTGTTAGGATTAGGATTAGGATTAGGATTAGACTCACAGTTTTAATGGTGAACCTAAATGTAGGGAATTCATTATATCTCACAAAACCAGAGTTTGTGTGTGTGTTTGTGTGTGTGTGTGTGTGAATAGTAACCTTCTCTTTCCAATGGAGGATGCCAATAATGACCAGGATGAAGAAACACACTCCAATTAGTGCGATGGCCGTCAGCAACACGCTGTTGCTCGGAGTCAGGTACAACTTGGCACTCCAGCTGCAGAGAGCGGAGGAAAAACAGAGAGAGAGAAAATGACAACGAGGCAGAGACACGTCTGTGACACCGATAGATAAATGTGTAAAAAATAAAACACACACACATTTTTTAAACGCATGAAAATCAATAATCCATAAAATACGTTAAAGTTGCACAACCAATTACACAAAGTACACACACACGCTGTCGGATCTCGATTTCAGCCTTGAAGATAAATCTTTGTTGAATTGCCAAGTTTCGTTAAAGTGACACTTTCCCATGTGTTCCAACTTTGTCCAAGACCAAGTGACTGGCACAGCACCTGCCGGGATTCTGGCTTACACACAGTGTGTGCATCTGCTCACAGCAGAAAACGATGTTTTTTTTTTTGTGTGTGTGTTTTTTTTTTCTCAGCTTCATGACTGGCAGTGACTGTGGCCCTCGGTGAGATCAGTCCACTTCTGAACACAACCTTGTAGGGTTCGTTATAAAAAGAGTGTAGTGTGTAGTTCAGGGTAGTGGGGTGGGGGGGTCAAACTCATTTTCACCAGGGGCCACATCAACAATACAGTTCTCCTTAAAGGGCCGGTTGTACAGTAAATGGAAGACTGTATAGATCAGGGGTCCCCAACCCCCGGTCCGTGGACCAGTACCGGTCCAAAGGTCATTTGGTGCCGGGCCGCAGTGGGAAATTTTTACTAATATTTAATTCATTCAAATCCAGAAAATCCACTATATTTTTTTCATTTTATTTATTTTAAAAGTATTCTGACTATATTTAAAAATAAAAGTCATTAAGTATGACAGGGAGGCTTTAACACTTAGCTTCATTTTGGTAACAGCGCTGTCATGCTTATATATATATATACATACATATATACGTATATACACATATATAGATATATGTGTATATATGTATATGTATGTATATATGTGTATATATGTACATATATGTGTATATATGTACATAT